CGGAAAGCCGCGGTAATACTCGAACAGGATGCAGCCGGTGCTCCAGACATCGCACGGCTGCGCCCAGCCCAGCTCTGCAAAGAGAATCACAGTCACTTGGTGCTCCCAACATGTTCCCACCGGCTTCCTCCTAGTTCCTTGTTGCAACTGCAGGGATGACAGAGACAGACCCAGAAGTGATGTGTGCGCTCCCCCGTGCTGCACCCCGGCATGAAGGCTGGTGAGTCTCCCCCAGACGCGTCTGTTCCAGCTAACGCTGACGCCGCGCTCCCCTGGAGCCAGTTGGAGCACTTCCCAAGTCCCCCAGGCTTTCCTCAGCTCTCCGCACTCCATGCCAAGAGCCTGCCCTATCCATGACTACCCTCCACACCATCAGGACCTTGGGACCACCGAGGTGGTGGTGCAGCAACGCACGGAACAGGCTTTCCCCACGAACCAGAGTGCTCTGAAGCTGGTTTTCCTCTAGGCAGCACCACCCTCCAGCATTCCCTGGGACAAGGGTTCTCCTCCAGCCTTCCGAGACTCCAGGAGCACTCACCCAGGATCACTTCTGGTGGACGGTAGTGCCGGGTGGCCACGATCGTGGTGTGGTGCTCGTGATCGAAGGTGGCGCTGCCGAAGTCAGCCACGCGGATGCTCGTGTTCCGAATGGATTTCTCCTCGCAGCTCTGCAAGCAAGGAAATCCTCAGTACTTCTGGGAGCCCGTTCAGGATGAGGCTGGGCTTCGAGAGGAGCCCTCTGACCCCAGAACTGCTGTGTCTGCATTACTAAGTACAAGGATTGCAACTGTGAAGCTCTGAGCTCTTTCTGTCTCAGTGTTGAGGGAAAGCCCCCAAATACTCCTCCACGTTGTGGTCTGGAGCCACTAAAGCCGTCTTACGGCTTTTAGAAGACATGGGAGAGGGAAAAGGCCAGTTTGTTCCCACTGACCACACTTCTAAGGCCTGGCAGGACATGTAGGGAACAGGGAAGACCCGAAGCCTGCAGGGAGGGAAGGGCAGGCTGCTCCCCATCTACTGGACACCACCCACCTTTTTCTCATTGTAGAGAGTGTCAAAATCCGAGTTGACAAACAAGATGTTTTCTGGCTTGAGGTCGGTGTGAGTCAGTTGGTTGTCATGTAAAACTGCACCAGGCGTGGAGAGGAGAGAGAAAAAACCACACTTTGAAGCACTCAAATGACTCTGCCCATCCAAGCACCAGCCAGCTCCTCCTCAGCTCCCTCCCACCCCACCCTGGTGGCCCCGGGGACGTACATCTCAAGGCATGGCAGAGCTGGTAGGCCATGTGCCGGATCTGAGGGAGAGGGTATGGCTGGAAGTTATTCTCCTTCAGGAACTCAAAAGTGTTCTTGCCCAGCAGCTCGAAGGCGATGCACATGTGGCCATGGAAGTTGAACCAGTCTGACATGAGGACGCAGAGGCTGCGTGGAGAGAGCGAAGGGAGGGTTAACCATCAGGCAGGGCAGTTCTGCACGGTTCTGCCTGCTTCAGATGTGGTTGGTGAGCAAAAGCTCTGAGCCAGCTGGCTCAGCAGCACCATCACCCCTCAGCACCACCCAGAGACACCCCTTTCCCTCTCTGCCCAACCAGCTCTGGGCACAGAGCTCCAATCCAGGTGGTTGTTAAAACAGCTTTGGTTTGTTTTCCCTCACTGTGACCTGGCATCTCAGTTGTTCAAGTTCGAAGTATTCAGTAAAATCAGAGACAGGCTCAGGGTGCCCAGAGAAGCCCCATCCCTGGCAGTGTTCAAGGCCAGGTTGGACACAGGGGCTTGGAGCAACCTGCTCTGGTGGAAGGTGTCCCTGCCCGTGGCAGGGGTTGGAGCTGGAGGAGCTTTAAGGTCCCTTCAACACAAACCAGGCTGGGATTCAATGAATGACACAGCCCAGCCCCTGTTTCTCTGGGTATGGCCCACGCACACCACGTGTCTGTAAGGATGTGGTACTGAGTGCCCAGGAGCCTCACCGGAACTTACAATTTGTTCTCCTTATCCTTCTCTTTGATCTTTTTGAGGACATTGATTTCCAGCCTGGCTGCTTCTCGGTACTTGCCAACGTTCTTTATGATTTTCAGTGCCACCTGGGATTTGCCTCTGTAAGGGAAGAGACCAGAGGATGGAGTCAGAGACAAGGCCCACGTGCACCCGTCCCCATCCACATGGCCAGGGCACACCCCGGCTGCTCCAGTCACGTCTGCGTGTGTTGAAAGGCTTAGTCATGCTCTCCAGGGCTGTCAGAGATTGATGCTGCTCAGCCAGTACTTAACTTGAAGGCTGCTGCTGGGTTACGCTCCAGCCTGTAAGGTCACTGCGGCTCCAGCCCCTGCCTCCCCTCTCCACGTGTGCCAGAGGGATTCCCGACGAGACCCCAGTGGCTCCTCTGCTAAGCTGACCCCGCAGCTCAGAGCCAAAGGGTCAGGAAGAGGCAGGGGTCAAGTGTAATCACAGGAGAGGTTAAAAGTAAGACAGAGGAGCACCCTGGCACATTCAGAGGTCGCTTTCCCCACTGCCTGGCCCGTCCTGCAGTTAACGCAGCAGAGCAGCCTGGCCCGAAGCACTTGGCCACTGAACGCATCCCTGCTTCCCCCCACGCATCAGCCTGCAAACAGGGTATGAACCTTTCCACTTGCTCTAACAACTGAGTGCAACAAGTGGGAGGTGACAAGTGGTCCCGGGCCCAAACTGTGACACTTGTGAGCGCCTGGGGCACAAGGGACAAACTCTTTGGAGGGGCCGGTGCCCACCTGGCATGGTCCACACACTCCACCACCTTGCCAAACGTGCCCTCGCCCAGGCTGCCGACGATCTCATCTAGGAGAGAGAACAGGAGCGGCCGTGAACGCGAGAGCCCGGCCGGGAGCTGAGGTCCTGCATCTTCCCAGCAATACCACGTCAAAGCCAAACCAAAGCATCTCACTGCTACACTCTTTAAAACTCAAGTGTCTATCGTCTGCCTGAGGCAATTTACTGCTCGCTCCAGTTACAAGCAATAAAAGACTAGAGCCCCGTCGAGTAGGACACGAGAGCTCTGCTCTAACACGGGGATAGAAAGTAGAGAGGTAAAGTTTTACGAAAGGTGGCTGTACATCGCTCGTGAAGCCAATCGCCGATCCTGCACACCAGGTGACCTTCCTTGTCATCTTCCACGCTCCTGCTGCGCTTACTGCTCTGTTGGCTTCTCTGTACACACCGCCCCCCGCAACGGCACACGACCGGTTCCGAGCGGCGGGAATGTGGTGGCATTCAAAGGTTGGAGATGACGGTGCGTCGGGCGGGTGGGTTTTCCAGATGCCAGCATTTCATAAGGCACACAGCATATATAACGATAGGGATATTGCAAGGGACACGTCAAGACACAAACTAACTTCAAAACAGAAAAGTCATCAACAGCTACAGGTATGTAAAGAAAATCTCGCTCATATGCTACGTGGAGGGAAATGCCCCCCTCTTCCTGGGCCACACGGTCTAGTGTGGGCTGCCCGCGGCAGCGGGTTGGAGCTGGATGAGCTTAAGGTGCTTTCCGACCCAAAGCAGGCTGGGATCGTGCGTGTCTCGGAAGGGAGGCAGCGGCTGGGGTGCTCAGCTCCGAGGCACCAGCGCTCCCCACAGAGCAGCAGCTCCCGAGGATGCTGCCGGAGGCACGGAAGGAGAAAGGCTTTGCCAGAAGAACCTCACTTTCTCCGCTGGCAAACGCAGTGAAGGGTACGTGGAGCTGTCAGTTTGGACAAGCTGCCCAGTAGAAGCCAGAGTAGCAGTTCTCCCTCTGTGTAGCTCTTTTGTACCTCAGTTAACACACCGCCAGCTACGAACCAGCCTTTCCCATCCTGACAGAGCCAGCTACTCACTGCCCCGAAATCCACACACCCGCCTGGGTGCAAACAGAGCCGGGGTTGCAGGATGCAGTTTTAAGCCTGGGAGGACGTGAGTTGAATGAATCCCCAGGGAGCATTTCATTCCAGGCATCCCCTCGTACGAGGCCACGTTCCCTCCTGCTACCTCTAGCTTCTACTGGAAAACCAGCCGAACGTTCCTGAAGAGACCCGGGGTCCATAAAGCAAGACTCTGCCCTAATTCCTGCTCTGTTTCTATCCAACCTTAGAAGTAACTTACAATCTCCACAGCCAAAGAAATGAATCCAAAGCTCAACATTTCCAGGCTTCTCTTTCTGTGCCCCCCACCTAGTCCGGAATAATGAGCTACGGTCCAACCCCTAAAGGTCAACTGAAGGAGGAGAAGGGGGAGAGGACAGTGAGACAGATGTGAGGCTTCAAAGGGTTTAGATCACACCAGCCCCAAACCTGCACCCCATTATCAGCATCGCACGCACACAGACCACACCGGAGGTTTTCCATCCTCAATCTTCCTAAATCTAGACTTAAAAAGTCAACTGGAAAGAAATAAGAGGAAAGCAGAGAGTTCCCGGGCATGCAGCTATCCACTCTGTCTGCAGGGATCAGGACTCGGTCACTGAGGTGTCGTAACACTCAAAAGCAACAAACGTGTGGAAGATGGAAACGTCCCTTACAGGGGGGAAGGGGTGAGGCAGAGATACCTCCCAACGCTTCCAGGGTATTCCCAGGAGCAGCCTTCCCACTCACTTCCAAGTATTCCCTATTAATCCTGGGAAGGAGTGGAAAACAGGCAAGTTTCAAGCTGAAAGCCAAGGCCACTTGTGTGGGAATAGGCGAAGAGGACACGTGGCGCATCCTAGGAAGGCAGAAGCCTTTCTCGGAGCCCAGTGGGACAGGGGTTAACACCACCAGGGCTACAGCTCAGCCTGATTGATCCCATCTGCTCTGGGATCCTGGCAGCGGCTCGAGTGGACGTGCCTCTGTGTACCAGTGCTGCATACCAACCCCCCCGGGGGCCGCACAACAGAGCCCTGGCCACCCCCGAGCCCCAGCAGCGCAGGTCCC